TAACTTATCTACGGAAATTTCCGTAGATAACTGCATCCGTAGATATATTCCGTAGATAAACGCATCCGTAGATAAATTCTAAATCCGTAGATAAAATCCGTAGATAACGTTATCTACGGAAAAATTTCCGTAGATAATGTTATCTACGACCGTATTATCTACGGATTTTTTTCCGTAGATAATTATCAGTTATCTACGGATTTTCATCATTATCTACGGAAAAATTCCGTAGATAATGCTGATTTTTCTTGTAGTGATATATCAATCGCAGGTGTAGGACAACACTCGGCATGGGGTGCCCTACACCCAATGCAATTTAGGTTGCGAGCCTCTAGAAGGATCATGCTTGGTGTAACTCTTCCCATGCCAAGAAAAATCACAAAGGGAATCCTTTGAAACTACCACGCCTAGCATGACCAAGCTCACTCCTAACGTCAACGATGTCGCAAGCATTCCTGGCTTTCATGCTCGACGAGCCTAAGGTGGCAGGTTTTGTGATATCAATAATTTCACATTTTGTAGAATTTGCGATTCACTTGTTGAGATTCATAGTGGTGAATCAACTCACCTCTGGAGATTAAAGGTTTTGATGATAACAAAGTGTGGAACAAAGCTGACCAAGGACATCAACAACTTAGAAGTCAAAAACAAAGTCAAAGAAAAATATGGCTATTATGTTACGTAATAGGAGTAGCTTATAATTTGTTTTGTTGAGCTTATTTTTTGTGTGTATGCTTTGTGCATGAGCTAATCTTTATCTAATCTGATTAGGAGTGAGTATGATGATGAGTTTGAAAGATTAAGAAGTTATTTTGAGACTTAAAACAATTTTGAAAACTAACTCAAAATAATCGATTATCATTAAATATAATCGATTATTCCAGCAACAGGTAAAAAGGATACCTTGCTGCAATAATCGATTATTTGTGAAATAATCGATTATCCCAGAAATCACTCTCTAGAATAATCGATTATCCTACAAAATAATCGATTAAATTGTTCTTGGTTGATTTCCAGAAATCATGAAGAAAAAAATAATCGATTATTCTTTAAAATAATCGATTATCTGATTCTGAAAAACTTATAAATAGTCTGCACATTTTGAAACTTTAAGAACAAGATAGAATTGAGAATCAAAAATAGAAAAACGTGTTTGTGAAGTCTTTATGACATTCTTGGAGAGTTTTCTTTGTGAAACCAAGAAGAAAAACGTTTTTGAAATGCTTTGAGAAAAGATCATCATCATCATCACATTCTTGAAAAGAGAAAGATTAAGATTTGCTTCTGAATTCCAGGTGAATTCGTTCCTTAATTCTTTGTGAATATTTGTAAATCTTGAGTAGGTTTCTCAAGTGGTAAGGAATTCTTGTAGTGGGTTTCTACAAAGGGTGCTTTCTTGAGGTCAAGAAAGTGGTTATCTTGAATGTAGGAGTGTATGCATGTGTGGTATGCTTGTAAAACTTCTTCATTAAGATAGTGGAACAAATCTTGATCAGGTTATGATTGAGGACTGGATGTAGGTCACATGTGGAGTGACTGAACTAGGATAAAAGACTTGTGCAATCTTCTCTTACCCTTATCTTTTACTTTGTGTAATATCTTGGTTGTATGTTAAAGAGATTATTCTTGATTAACATGTTTGCACGTGCAATATTGATTTGAACTGAATCAAAGTATTACATATTAATTGTACTTAACTTTGAATCTCATTAATGATTAATCAAGAAAGCATATAGGATTCATTCTTCATTAACAAGTATTTAAGAAACTTCTTTGAAAATTCATAATTAGAAAAGTTTGAATTGAAATAAAGATCCTAAAACTCTGAAAATTTTTAAGTGACATAGAATCCAATTCACCCCCCTCTTGGATTGAGCCATTCTTTTCAAACAATTGGTATCTAGAGCAAGGTTCTTGAGTGTTATTCAAGATTTCAAAAATGGGCAATAGCAACCTACCTTATGGTGAAAGTGTGTCCATTCATAGACCTCCTATTTTCAATGGTGAAAACTATGTCTACTGGAAAATTAGGATGAGAATTTTCATTGAAGCAATTGACATTGCTGTGTGGGATGCAATTGAAAATGGACCCTATATCCCTATGACCAAAGATGATGATGGGAAGAGAGAAAAACATTGGAGTGAGTGGCGTGATGATGAGAGAAAAAGAGCCCAATATGACTATAGAGTCAAAAACATCATTACGTTTGCATTGTCTGTTGATGAATTTTTCAGAATACAACAATGCAAATCTGCTAAATAATAGTGATTATGGTATTGACGATGTTATTATTCACATTATTATTATTATTATTACTACTGTTGTTACCACTATCATTATTATCATGTGATGACAATCCTAAAAAAAATGACAGTTATAATGATAGTAATAATAATGATATAAATACATTTTTCTATCGTAGGAAAGCTAAGAAATAAAGATTAAGAAAGAATAATTTCTTAAAAAGATGTTCAAAAAGTTACCATGAACAAGTAATGACAAAGTAATGAGAAACACGAACCAAATTAATAAGTTATCAACTAAAGATACTTCTTCCTTTACCAACTAGTTAACATATTATTGTCTTATAAGTGTAAGTGAAAATCAAGGTCTAATTATAGTAAGTAAAATTTATAATCTTGTGAATCATAAACATAAAAATGAGGAATCCCAAGCTTAATAAGGGAGAGGACAATATTGGAGTCGGACTCACACTTACTAAATGATAGCCGCGTTCCCAACGTATATTAATTCCATGATGAACCGCAATTACATCGACGTGAAAGACCGTAACGAACCCACAAAAACCTGTTAGCCACCAACCCGCACCATCACTTTTGCATCTATATCTACATACCGTAGTCCCAACATTGATGCCATTTAAAACCGACATCGATGAGGTGTAACTCCACACAATAAACACCGTTCTTTAGGTGAATTCCTCTTCTGAGGTGCACTATAAAAAACTCAAGGATAGGTCCTTGTTCCTTGTCTCATCACCACCAATTCTCTTACTCTTTTAACAGTTCTCAAGGCTTCAGCTTCTAATATCCGCCATTTCAACATATACTCAAATGGCCTCCCTCCGTGAGCTTCTCTTGTCTTTCTTCATTGCTTTGTCACTTTTGTCCATTGGCAATGTCCAAGCCAGTAGAAAACTTCCGGCACCCACATTGCCAAATTCTCCTCGCCAGATTTTTCCTCCATTCCCCCCAATAATGGATTGGCCAGAGTATAGATTGCCTTCTCCTTTTATTCGCACACTTCCACCCTCCTCACCACCTCCCACAACTACCAATCCTTGAGTAGGACTATTTTCAGCAACATATTCATACTTCGCTGTCTGAAAAATTATTAAGTGGTCTTGAACCACATGATTTCCAACAAGTGATTGATTACGGTTACAAACACTTGATCTTCTTGAATTATCTAATAATTTCTAGCCATACATGGAGATGTTGCATTGCATACATGTGCAGCAAAATAAAGGTTCACACACAAGATTTCCCATTATGTCTATTTACCTTGTTTGTTATCCATTGATTGAGTGAAACATGCCATGTTACACCATGTAATGGAGCATCATATGTTCCGCTTTTGCTTTTGAGCAAAAATTGTATGTTGCATTGAAGTATAATTTATTTTTCATCCAAATTACTAGCAATCGTGAGTGTTTCAGCCTTCCAAAAAAACAGCAAGAGGCTATTATAAAATTTTGGCCAATGCAACCAAGGGAAATGAATACGGGTCAATCAACAATTCATATTGTTAGTTTATCTGACCAATTCCATGGACATTGTGAAATTACTTGTTAGTACTTTGCAATTTGCATCCTTAGTTAATCTAAATATACCAAAACACCAACATGGCTAACACACGTCTCTAAAATGTTGAAGATTTAGCATGCATATCAATATTAAGTCATCATACAAAGAAACTGACCTGTGACAGATCAATGAACAAAACTGAATCTATCAAATTTGTGTCTTGAATACATCAGAAAATTCATATATAAATCTTAGGAGGCTTCATATTTGGGGTCCGATGTGACCAAGTGATAAGCTATAACCAAACCAAAAATGAAGATGCCAAGAAAATTGGCAATGGTTCCCAAGGCTTGATCATCAATCATCTCTAACTTTCTGGACGAGACAAGAAAAAATAAAACCAAATAATTAAGGAACGCATCAAATGAATTGCTTTATATTAATCGCTGTAAATGAATTCCTCGTCATATTATACGAAAAGATGCAAAGAAAGAAATTAAAAGTTATGAATCAGAAATTGACCTTTTTTGGAGTCGCTGAATGAAATGGTTTGTTGGATCGGGATTGGGAACACGCAGCGTTAAGCGTAGCCCCAATTCTTTAAAAAGGAAGGGTGCGTTGACCTGGAATTAAGACGACATTTTAAACGCCGTCGTTTCGCTTCCAAGTTTTAAAGCGCAAAAATTATACGTTGTGTGGCTGCTGGGATTCGAGCCCAGGTCTCCACGGCCACAACGTGGAATTCTTACCACTAAACTACAGCCACT